AAAAAAAAAAAAATTAGCTGGGCATGGTGGCGTGCACCTGTAGTCTCAGTTACTTGGGAGGCTGAGGCAGGAGAACTGCTTGAACCTCTGGAGGTGGAGGTTGCAGTGAGCCGAAATTGTGCCACTGCACTCCAGCCTGGTGACAAAGCAAGACTGCGTTGGAAAAAAAAAAAAAGGCGCTCTCCTTCCCCCACCACCAGGAAGGATTTTGGTCAAAGACTATAACTGAAGTAAAAAGAACTAGTAATGTCAAAGGAAACGACAGTTGCAAAATTCCAGACAATAGTGGATGCCTTCTATCTAAGGACATGTAGATACAGCCTTGGGATCTGTTATATGTCTGAATTTTGCTTTTAGGACAATCTCTCTGGGATAAACGAATCAAGAGTGAACACTGACCTTAGGAAGCAAAACTGAAATGTGCTGCTTTCTATTTTGGGGGTCATGGGAAATCCACTTTAAAATGGCCTCAAATACAGCATCTTCCTGTTTGACATTGAGCTCATCTTTCTCGATAATATCCTTAAGTTCAGTGACTGAGAGCTCTAAAAATTCCGCAGAGACTTTCACCATCTCCTCGAAGTTGTGCAGTATGAACATGTAGGCCTTCTGCCTCAGCTCAGGACAGTAGTAGTAGTCGGTGAACTTACAGATGCCGATACAATTATCCAAGCACAGCTCCGACTTGAGGAACTCGCAGCAACCCCTGACAATACCCATGATGTTAAATTGGTCTGCAGCAGCAAGCAGTTTCTCCACATTGTCCGGTGTGATAGGCACGGTCCGGGTGTACGCATACTCGATGATTAGCTTCATCATGTCGGGGGAAATGCCAGGGATGTTGTATACCTTTTTTTCAGTGTTGTTCCAGCCACTTGTAAACAAAGCTCTGGAAAAAAGAAAGAAACCAGCAGCCACTGACGCGTTTCTCTCCTGGTAGGTGAGTACATTAGAAATGGCCTGATAAGCGGGGTGCAGGCATGTGCTCTATACAGTGGACAAGAAGAACAACTTTCCAACAATTTTTACTTTGGCCATTCTTACCTTGTGGATGGAGAAATTAAGATCTAGAACTGAGAGTAACACCCAGGTCTCTTGGGCCAGGCACAGTGACTCACCTATAATACCAGCACCTTGGGAGGCGGAGGTGGGCGGATCACCTGAGGTCAGGAGTTTGAGACCAGACTGAGCAACATGGCAAAACCCCATCTCTATTAAAAACACAAAAATTAGCCGGGCGTGGTGGAGTGTGCCTGTAATCCCAGCTATTCGGGAGGCTAAGGCGGGAGAATCGCTTGAACCCGGGAGGCGAAGGTTGCAGTGAGCTGAGATCACGCCACTGTACTCCAGCCTAGGTGACAGAGCAAGACTCTGTCAAAAGACCCAGGTCTCTTCTATCTCATCCAATGGCCCACCAAATCCTGCCTTGCTTAAGGAATTTAAACTTGAGCAATGTACTTTTTTTGTTTTTTTGAGGTGGAGTTTCGCTCTTTTTGCCCAGGCTGGAGTATAATGGCACAATCTCGGCTCACCACAACCTCTGCCTCCTGGGTTCAAGCATTTCTCCTGCCTCAGACTCCCGAGTAGCAGGGATTACAGGCATGAGCCACCACGTCCGGCTAATATTTATATATTTAGTAGAGATAGCGTTTCTCCATGTCAGGCTGGTCTTGAACTCTAACCTCAGGTGATCCACCTGCCTCAGCCTCCCAAAGTGCTGCGAGCAATGTACTTTTAAAATAAGTATCATTCAAACAACTTGGCAGGATTTGATGCAGAATTTGATTACTTCTCACCTCTTGGTCCAAGTCGTCCTCTCCTGCATAGAATACCAGGTGTTACCTCCTCACTGATCTCCCTGCTTCTGCCCTTGACAACTCTAGAGTTTGTAGACTTAAATTTTTGTTTGTTTGGCCTGGCACGGTGGCTCACACCTGTAATGCCAGCACTTTGGGAGGCTGAGGTAGGCAGCTCCCAAGGTCAAGAGATCAAGACCATACTGGCCAACATAGTGAAACCTCGTCTCTACTAAAAATACAAAAATTAGCTGGACTTGGTGGCGCGAACTGGTAGTCCCAGCTACTTGGGAGGCTGAGTCAGGAGAATTGCTTGAACCCAGGAGGTGGAGGTTGCAGTGAGCCAAGATTGCACCACTACATTGCAGCATGGTGACAGAGCAAGACTCTATTAAAAAAAAAAACAAAACTCATATAAAATATAAGAGTGTCGGGGGAGAGGAGGAGGGTCTTCCTATATTGCCCAGGCTGGTCTTGAACAACTAGGCTCAAGTGATGCTCCTGCCTCAGCCTCCCAAAGTGCTGGGATTACAGGCATGAGCCACTGCGCCCAGTCTAGAGTTTATATAGTTTACCCCAGCAGACAAAGTAATTCTTATGAGTTTATGTTTCTTTTCTACTTGAAATCTTCCACTAAATTCCCTTCTTACTCAGGGTAAAATGCAAAGTCCTTACCCAGGGAATGCTTAGGGCCTCTGAGATCGGGACCACTGATATCTCTCTGACCCTGTCTTCTCCCACCTTCCCTTCATTCTGTGTCCAGCCCTGCCGGCCCCTTTGCTGTCCCTGAAGCACACCAGAGCTGCCTCCACCTTTGGTCCTTTGTACTTGCTGTTCCCGCTGCCTGGAAGGCTCCTCCACATCTGCATATTTATTCCTTCTTCATTCCCTTGAAGTCTTTGCTCAAATGTTACTGTGTCAGCAAGACCTTCTCTGACAATCCTATTTAAAATGGGGCAGGGGGCAGTGGCTCACACACTTTGGGAGGCCAAGGCAGGCAGATCACATGAGGCCAGGAGTTCGAGACCAGCCTGGCGAATGTCGAAAAACCACATCTCTACAAAAAATACAAAAATTAGCCAGGCATGGTGGTACACGCCTGTAATCCCAGCTACTCGGAAGGCTGAGGCAGAAGAATCACTTGAACCTGGGAGGCGGAGGTTCCAGTGAGAGCCAAGATCATGCCATTGCACTCCAGCCTGGGTGACAGAGCGAGACTCTGTTTCAAAAAATAAAATAAAATAAAATAAAATAAAATGGCCACTCACTGCTTTTTGTCTTCCTTTTCTTATTTTCCCAAGCACTTATGATGACCTGATATGCATTTTACTCATTTAATGCCCATCTCCCTACTAGAGGGTAAACTTCACGAGAACAGGAATCTTTCTCTCTCTCCTTCCTTCCTTCCTCTTTCTTTCTTTCCTTCTCTCTCTCTCTTTCATACAGGGTCTTGCTCTGTCACCCAGGCTGGAGTGCAATGGCATGATCTTGGCTCATTGCAAACTCTGACTCCTTAGTTCAAGCAACTTTCCTGTCTTGTCTCAGCCTCCTGAGTAGCTGGGATTACAGGTATGCACCGCCACACTCAGCTAATTTTTGTATTTTTTAGAAGAGACTGGGTTTCACCATGTTGGCCCAGCTAGTCTTGAACTCCTGATCTCAGGTGATCCGCCTGTCTTGGCCTCCCAGAGTGCTGGGATTACAGGTGTGAGCTACCACACCTGGCCAATTGTTTTCTTTTTTTCAGTATCCAGAAGAGTGCCTGTAACAAAATAGGCATTCAATAAGTTTCTTTTTTGTTTCTTTTATATATATATATATATATATATATATATATATATATTTTTTAAAGACGGGGTTTCACCATGTTGGTCAGGCTGGTCTTGAACTCCCTACCTCAGGTGATCCGCCTGCCTTGGCCTCCAAAGTTCTTGGATTACAGGCGTGAACACCCGGCCACAATAATTTTCTTTTAATTTATAATAGAAATGAGGGTCTCACTATGTTGACCAGGCTGGTCTTAAACTTCTGACCTTAAGCAGTCCTCCCATCTTGGCCTCCCAAAGTGCTGGGATTACAGGTGTGAACCACCATGCCCAGCCTTGATAAATAATTATTAAGTGGGCCGGGCGCGGTGGCTCATGACTTTAATTCCAGCACTTTGGGAGGCCGAGGTGGGTGGATCATGAGGTCAAGAGATTGAGACCATCCTGGCCAACACGGTGAAACTCCGTCTCTACTAAAAATACAAAAATTAGCCTGGTGTGGTGGCTCGAGCCTGTAGTCCCAGCTACTAGGGAGGCTGAGGCAAGAGAATCGCATGAACCCGGGAGGAAGAGGTTGCAGTGAGCCGAGATTGCGTCACTGCACTCCAGCCTGGTGACAGAGTGAGACTCCATTTCAAAAAAATAAAAAAGAAGAAAGAAAAAAAATTAGTTGGATGTGGTGGCATACTGCTGTAATCCCAGATACTTGGGAGGCTGAGGCAGGAGAATAGCTTGAACCTGGGAGGTGGAGGTTACAGTGAACCGAGATTGTTCCACTGCACTCCAACCTGGGTGACAGAGCAAGACTCCATCTCAAAAATAAATAAATAAATAAATAAGTTGTATCTGCTCTAGGGTTTACATGAGTGAGAGGTTTTAGCAACAGGTAGGACACATGATAATATATCTTCACTGGAATTGATTACTCAAACATTTTCAGCTCATGAACAAAATAGCCCTTCTACCTTCTGGGTTACAATGGTTTTAGCCCAAACTCCTTTTTTCTTCTGATAAATATTTCTAGAATATTTCTCCCTTGTCCCCCTTCCTATCCCCTCAAACCTTGTTAATTTATCACCCTGTTTGAAATGGTCTCTACTGGGATAGAGGTACAGAGGTCCCTGAAGTAGCATTGTCATCTGAAATCCAGTAAGGACGTGCAACCTTCCCAAAGGTTGGTTTGGGTGAGAATCAAAGATGAAAGCACCTGGGCTACCAATAGTTGGTTCAAATCCAGTTGAAAAATCAGATCCTTCAGGTATAACCTTAAGACAAAATTTTGAAAAGAAAAATCAGCCGGGCGCGGTGGCTCACGCCTGTAATCCCAGCATTTTGGGAGGCCGAGGCGGGTGGATCACGAGGTCAAGAGATCGAGACCATCCTGGTCAACATGGTGAAACCCTGTCTCTACTAAAAATACAAAAAATTAGCTGGGCATGGTGGCGC